CCGGAGGCTCTGCTCCTCTCCTGACTCTTCGGCTCTGTTTAAGAGCCGAGCTGCCCGAGCGCTACCGGCTTCGGGCAGCCCCCATGCCTCCGGACCCTGCACCGCCGGAGCCCGGGAGGGGAAGTGCCCGGCTGGCGGCTGGGTGCTTCCCCTCCCGGGCTCCAGCTGCACTGGGGAAGCGCCGGCCGGGGGCGCAGGGTCTGTAGGCTGCCCGGCAAACCGTAAAGCTGGTAGCGCTCGGGCAGCCCTTTTCACGTGGCTGGGAGGGAGGAGGGGGAGTTAGGGCGGGGACTTTGGGGAAAGGGCGGAGTTGGGGCGGGGCCGGGGTGGGAAAGGGGCGGGGCTAGGGCCTATGGAGTGTCCCCTTTTTTTTTATTTTTTAAATATGGTAACCCTAGTTTTTTGTTTTTTAAATGTTGTGGGAGGTGTTAGATGTACAACAAGCAAAACCAAATTCCTGTCAACAGAGCCATAGATACAAATTTCTGTTCCTTTCATATTGCCACAAAACTAACACATTATCGTCAAAGGAATTCTATTCCAAAAGCACTGTCCCATTGTCTGGCCTTGCAGGAAGAAAAACAGGAGGCGATGGATGTGGTTTGAGCAGGCTACAACTTGATTCACTTAAAATATCTGGGAGTACCTGGCAATGAATAGTGCAGTGCAGGATATAATTAAATTTCACCTTTTTGGGAGAGGTACTGTCAGCCCTCCCCCTTCCCAACCTAGTCAAAGCCAGCCCATTGCTGGGACCTTGCCTCCCTCCCTCATATAAGAGTAAGGGGCCTGAAAAGGAAGAGCCAGACACTACAAGCCCTCAACCCTCCACTTAGCTTTCTTAAGTGCTGCTTTCCTCTAAATCCCCTTTCCAATCCATTTTATCCAATAACTGTATCCTTTCCATACTGAATATCTGCACTGGACATTTCTCACAAAGAGACACTAGTTTGGCTGCCTCACTGCTACCCTAGCTGAGTTCCCAGATATTTGCTGATATTTTTATCTAACATTAGGGAAAGACTGTTTCTTCCCCATTCAGATGGGTGTACCCCATTCTCCCTGAAGTTGGGCGCCCAGTAAAATATGTCCAGATGAAGTGGGTTTCTCTGGAACATCCTCTTCTCTGGTCACCTGGAAGGGCAATACCCCCTTCCTCCCCACCTGATCCAGCCACTGCCTGTTCAAACTGTTCCAGTCAGGTAAACTTTCCCCTTCCTCCCTCTCTGGTATCAATTGCAGAGGGATCCCCTTATAGGGGCAACACTGCATGCAGCTGTTGTGAGGGCATTTGCACAGCTTCACCATCACTTTTCTCATCTTAATCCTATTCCCAGGACTTTCTCACAATATGTACATGTTCAAACAAATCCTGTTGTGGAGCTAGAGGCACTTAACCAAGGTCACAGGCAATTGGCACATCCACACCATTTCTTTGATCCATTTGTGTCTCGTGCTAAACACAACCTGTCTAGAGATAACTGGGCTAATATCTGTTCTGCAGCATCATCCATCTAGAATGTGCCCGGTCAGTGGTCTCATCCATGATTAAGTTGGAAATAGAAATCGCCTTATCAGTCACTGACCATAAGCAGCATGACCCATAAAGAAAGAGTCCCTGCGAAGTTGAGCAGTTTTCCACAAACAAATTCTTTCCTTGCCCAATTTGTAGATAGTCTATTATGTCTTACACTGTGTCCATGTATATACAGTTTTAAGCCATAGGCTCATCAATATCCGGTCATATATGCCAGATCACTCATCACTCAATAGGGTGACCCGCAAGTCCTAAAGTGCAATATTCTCAATAGTGATGGGACACGAAAGACAGACTGCATTGCATACTGATAACTAGTGGTGGTGATACCTTCTCAATAGGAGGGTAGTAAATTTACCAAAATAACATGTAGCTAAGGGGAGGAGGGTGAGGAAAGCACCATCTTCTGTTGTAAGTAGTAATGCTTATTCGGCTTGCCTAATCGAGAGTTGTTGTTTCTGGATTGGGCTTAGTATATAGTTTAAAATATTAAGCAGTGTGTTTACATATTAACAAGTTTTCTAAATATTTAAGTAGCAGCCAAATTTCTCTCAGTACTTTGCCACAAGATGTGATGTTGCCATCCGCTATGTGCTATTCTATTTTCTGTCCCTGCATCAGAATATTTTAAAATCTGGTGTTTTTGTCTCTTCAGGACTACATTGATACCGAGATGCTTCTCTGTGGGGAAAACGTAAACCAGGACAATCTGCTGTCTTATGCAAGGGAAGCTGCAGACTTTGCAACCAATTACCAGCTGCCTTCCTTGGATTTTGCGATTAATCACTATGGGCAGCCAGACGTGGCTATGTTTGATTTTACTTCCATGTATGCCTCTGAAAATGCTGCACTAATAAGAGAAAGGCACCGACATCAGCTCTTAGTTGCCCTTGTTGGAGATAGTTTACTTGAGGTATACCTAGCAGCAACAACAAAAAGCATTTTGAATTCCTTAAAGTAAAAACATGTTTTTATGCTGTAAGAGGAGTTTGGTTTGGTTTTGTTAAACCGCAGGTTCAGGTACTTTGGTAAATGCATTCAGATTGCTTATTTTGACAGTATAATAACCAGGAGGTGGCAATGTGAATTTTATCTGGTAGCTGACATAATCCTAAATCTTTCCTGAAAAGAATAGAATTAAGAAGATTCAGAAACCAGCTGAGCTGGCCACATGTTTAATAATATCTAGTAACAGACAGCATTTTTACTTAGTTTTTAAGCATGTTCATAATTTCTATTTGTTTAAAGGGACACTGACAAGTTTTGAACTTTTTAAATGACTCATTTTTTAAAAGCTGCAATTTCTCAATGAATACCATTAAATAGAATGGCTGGATTTAATTTTTTTCTTCCATTCCTATAAGATTCTTTAAGGAGAAACAGGAAATAAGGGGGAAACAGTGAGGCTGCTTCTACATAAAACACTGGCAAATGCATAAAGTATAAAGAAACAAAAAATCTAGAGAAATATTTTGTTACATGCTGACTTCTTTAATTATAATAACCTTTAGGTGCCACTTTAAATTACAGTGTGATTAGGTACAACACTTTGACAGACAACTTTGCTTTAAAAAAAAACAACAACAAAAAACCTCTAAAGTTGGAGGGGGAGTGACTCCTTGTTGGTCATGTCAGCTGTACTAACTGTGGGCCCAATACTGCAGACACTTGCTCATATGTGTAAGTTTACGTACATGAGTAATTCCAGGGAAATCTTCAAAGAAGTTGCTTGTGTGTGTAAATGTTTTACTCATTATTATTCATGCTTGTAATCGTCTGTATCAGAGTGTTGTGGCATTATGGGCTTTCTTCAGGATGTCTTGCACGAAATGGAGTATGTGTTGTTTACTGGGCTGACGTATACAATCGCATTGCCATTAGGGATGGCCTAAGAATGTCAGTGGACCCTCTTTACTTTGTCTTACAACAGGGGTTCTCAAACTGAGGGTTGGGACCCCTCAAGGGGCTGTGAGGTTATTACATGGGGGGTCGGGAGCTGTCAGCCTCCACCCCAAACCTCACTTTGCCTCCAGCATTTATAATGGTGTTATACATTAAAAACACTTTTTCATATATTTAAGGGGGGTCGCACTCAGAGGCCTGCTGTGTGAAAGAGGTCACCAGTACAAAAGTCTGAGAACCCCTGTCTTACAATACATGTTGTGAAATGTTGGTGCTTTTTTCTTTACAATAGAATTTTTTTTCATTTTCATACTATAACTTATCAGTAACTAATGCCTGACTAATGATCTCTGATGCGGATTCCACTTGTGTATATAACACAAGTTGTGTTTCACAGCTGAAAACAGGGAGCCAGGTCCTCGGTTGGTGTAAATGGCATAGTTCCCTTGACTGCAGTCCCAGTTAGTCAACTGTCCTGCTTTGTACTTTTGATGCTGGAAGTGTAGTTAGAGTGAACAAGCAGTGTACTCAGTATCGCCAACCCCCGATGTTCAGAAATCTTCTATCAGATCCCCAAAACATTGTGAGATTGGCTTAAAAATCAGGAGGGTTGTTTTTTTGTTTGTTTGTTTGTTTAATAATAAGAAATGTTGGATCTTTCTACTTCCCTTCTGGTTTTTGAATGTTTTAGGGTTCACATTTTCCAGATGTTCTCTGCATAAGTGCTGGAAATTTCTTTGGACAATGAATATACAAATACAAAACTGAAGCTGAGATTCTCATGACTCCAGGAGCTGAGGCTTTGAGAAAAAACACCAAATATTGTGAGAGCTGGCAATACTGTATACTAGAACTTTCTCTGGCCTAGCATCTCAGAATGTGTGAAAACCTAGCCTGCAAGCCCACCTGGCAACTGCTTTGGTGATAAGTCTCTTATTAAGAAAGATGAGGGATAAATATGGCTAAACTGTAAATACTCTTTACAGCCCTTCTGGCCGATGGGTACCGGCTGTGCAAGAGGCTTCCTAGCTGCTTTTGATACAGCATGGATGGTGAAGAGCTGGGATCAAGGAAAACCCCCACTAGAGATCCTTGCTGAACGGTAAACACTTCCTTTCTTCTTCCCCTCCCATTTAAGCAAATTTTAAGGGAATACGGTGATGGTAGAAGATGTTCAAGGAACAGCGCAAGTAACAGAAGTATTCTGCTTACCTGTGGTGGCAGTCAGTTCATTTAGGCTACTGAACAGTTTTCAGATGGCAGGGACCTCTAGGCCTGGTCCTGCAAGCTACACTCTGCTGGTGCAAAGGTCCACTGATATCGAGTAATCTGAAGGATTAGGGCCTAAGTGACTATTGACCTGACCCAGATTGAAACTTTGAGGAAGAGGTGTAAGGCTTGGTATCAAATGACCAGCCCTGCAAATCTTCTGGTCCCCAAGCACTTGTTGTGAAATAATCTGCTTTTAGTCAAAGAACACACATGTCTTAGCAGCAGTAGTCTTCAGAATTGGCACCTCCATTTTTTTAGCTGAGCCTTTTAGTTCATGCTGGGACCGTGATGTGACTTTTATTGACTCTGTTAAATGTGCAGCAAGCAAGAATCTGCATAGCTTTCAATCATAAGTTCTTTTCTATAATCTATTATTCACTCTCCTAAAAACTGTTATTAAAGGCACCAACAAAAATTTTTTTTGCATGGCGATGGCCTGAATTTGCTGACCCTGTTTAGTGGTTCCACTGGCAAAGATTTGATACTGTTACAGCTGGTCAGGATGTTTTAGAAACTGATGTATCGTAGCTGTTTGGGAGCAGTATTGTTTGTGGTAATTATGAGATCAGGACTATAAGTGCAGTGCTGTGTGAGGAATGAGAAGGCAGATGTTTGTGGATGACTCAGAAACACAGAGCAATCCCAAATGGAAAATTGAATGGAGTAACAAAGGAAGGGCCGAGTGGTTGGGTGAATTGCAGGATGACTGGATCCAATGCTGTTTTGTGGTAAAAGGAGAAGTTACCCCTTGGGTGGAGATTAAAGCAAAACCAGATGTCTTTGCATGATGTAATCTTACTTCTTTCTTGCTCTCTTCCTGCCTCAGGAAGATACAGGCATCACATAAGTGTCTGTCTCAGGTTTGGGTTGGAAAATTTCTCATGCTGAGACAGTATTGGCAGTTGGTGCAGATGCAGGTTTAGTGCAGGGTGCTAATCATTGACCGATTCTAAATAAAGGTGAGGGCAATTACAAAAGCAATGTAGGAAAAAATGGTTGCACTCTGTCTTCAACTGACCCTTCTTTATTATTGTCTGTCAGAGAGAGCATTTATCGACTATTGCCCCAGACTACACCCGAAAATATCAACAAGAACTTTGACCAGTATACCATTGACCCAGGAACGCGCTATCCCAACTTGAACTCCAGCTGTGTTCGACCTCATCAGGTCAGTTCTTTAAAGGCTCACTTTACAAAATCACAATTCATTTTTGTCCCAGGAGTCACATGGCTGCAGTTGAAATGCTGCATAAACAAAACTTTCATGAGATTCTCTGGATGAGGTCAAGTTACCCGATAAAGTTCACATGAAAAGAAAATATTATATTAAAATCACTTGCAGTGGTTCATGTACTCATGTTCAAATTGTTTTTGCTTTAGGTTAGACATTTGTATGTTACAAATGAGCTACAACAATGCCCTCTTGAAAGGGTCAGCTCTATTAGAAGATCAGTGAATGTCTCAAGGCATGGTATGTGAAATTTTCTGCCTGGTATGATTCTTTTACATTTCATGTTCAGAGCATGTAAGTGACTGAAATGTTCTCCCTATATTACACCTGCAGAATCCGATATTCGACCTAATAAGCTTTTAACCTGGTGTCAGAAACAGACAGAAGGCTACAGGAATGTTCATGTCACTGATCTCACTACTTCTTGGAGGAGTGGCCTTGCGCTGTGTGCAATTATGCACCGCTTCAGACCTGACCTCATGTAAGTTATGTGGGTAGAGTTTGCTAATTGTAGGATACGCTAAGTAGTTTATAAAAGTATAGACTAGTGTAAGGCCAACTAAAACAATGCTGGTGGTTTAGAGTCCCCTTTTAACATTTGTTTTTGCAACCGGGTGCATGCCATCGCTGAGTTTGGTTTTTTCCCAGATGTCCTTGGCCCAGCATTTAAAACTGACAGTATACATTTTCAAAGAGCTGCATGGCTTTTAGCCGTGTGATTCTTGTTGACTTTAGTGGAAATCACATGCCTATTTTTTATTTTTTTTTAATGTGAGGGTTTATGTCCATGTGTTCCTCGAAGCACATTCTTAGAAAGGAGAGGCAAGTTCAGGGGAGTTTTGCAGCTTTAGACTGTTTCTGTATGTGCTCTGTCCAGAGCAATACAACACCCTTTCATATTAGCTGCATTATGAACACCAAAAATCGAGTAACAGATTCCCGAGGTAGTCCTGGCAAATTAACTCCCTCTTCTGTCCTAACCCCCTTCTTCTGACTGTAACCACACCATATCCCACTGGACCTAACTAATTACACAGAAACTTTTAGAGTGTCTCTACACGGCAACCAGACACCGGCGGTCACCCCGTACCAGCTGACTTGAGTTTGCGGGGCTCAGGCTGCAGGGCTGTTCAATTGCAGCCTAAACTTCCAGGCTCCAGGTCTCTGCAAGGTGGCAAGGTCCCAGAGCTCAGGCTGCAACCCAAGTCTCCACCTCCACTGCAATTATACAGCCCCTTAGCCCGAGTCCTGCAAGCCTGAGTCAGCTGGCATGGGCCAGCCGTGGGTGTCTAGTTGTAGTGTAGACATGCCCTTAGTGTGTGTCCTCTGCCCCAGCTACTTATTGAGACCTGTGATCTTCCCACATCCAGAGAAGCTGTAATCAGTCTTTAATGGTCATTTCTGTTGAAATCTGTGGTAGGAGTGACTCCAGTGTCCTCTCAGACTCCCTCTGGCTCTGGAGAGTGCACACAGGCATGCTGGACTACCCAATGCACACAGACTTTTAAATCCACAATGACACTGGCAGAAATTTGAAAAGATGACCTAACTGGAAACTCCAGAATGGAAAAAAATACCACATGCACCAAAATAAGAGCTAGTTTAAATGGAAGCTAGTGTAATGGTTTCTGACATGGTTAAAGCTGATGGGTGTGCTAAATGCTAATTATTCAGCTGAATAGGAGGTGCAGTTGGGCCCCTTTTACCTTGTGAAACTGGAAATCGTAGAAGCCACCATGCAAGGTGGGCCACATGGCAAGGCGTAACTCAGGAGTATAAGAGGGGTTTCCCTTGGATTGACTGAAAACACAACGACCAAGGGATGGGTTGACAAGCTCTGTGGGCATGAGTAAGGGTGAGATTTTTGTCATGGATATTTTTAGTAAGTCATGGACAGATCACAGGCAATGTCCTGTCCTATGACCTGTCCCTGACTTTTACTAAAAATATCCCTGACAACATGAGCCAGCTGTGGGGTCCCTCCCCGCTGGCTGGAAGCTGCAGGGGGTGCCTGCGGCAGCTGGGAGCTATGAGGGGCCCTGCCACCAGCAGCAGCTGAGAACTGCACGGGGGCTGAAGCAGAAAATGTCATGGAGGTCTCTGAAATCAAGGATTCCGTGACCTCTCTGACATAATTGTAGCCTTAGGCATGGGAGAGGCAGAAAGCGAGAGAATCTGTCGTGAATGTAGAGTGAGAAGGAGCACAGAGACCTTCTTTTGGGCACAGTACATGCTGGAAAGGGAAATTCAAATTCCTGAGCAAGAAAACTCCCTGCTGTTTTGTTTCTACTGTGTTTAGGGAAACAGGACTTTGCATGCTTTCTTTGTAACTAAAGAGGATTCCACCTAAGAAATATCCGACTCCAGCATCAATTTCTCCTCCTAGAGGAAACAACCTGGCAAGGCCCCAAATACTGGCTAATCTCATTGGCCGGAGGGCATCAATATGAAGCACTAAACACAGTAATGAGATCCAGAACACTGTACAGATTTCTACCATCAGATTTTAAAAATTGATGCTTTTGGATTCATAAAAGCAGCTACTGGCCCATGACTGAATTTCAGCCATCCTGGGCATCAGGAAGGGATCACTCTTTTGGGGCATAGAATTTCACATTTGGCATGAGGTGGAGGAAACGTCTTTGCTAGCAGCTTTATTTTTTTTTTTAAATGTCTGCTTGAAGCTACTTGGGATTGCAATTTTATTGAGTCTCAAGAAAATGGATTGGGGGCAGGTAATGCGGTCAAAAGTCTGATAAATTGGACAGTCGTGATATATTTATTGCAAGGACAACAATTTGTGCGTGTGTGTGTGTTCGCGTGTGTGTGTGTGAGAGAGAGATGCTTTTTATAAGAGAATGTGGTGCTAGTCTGAGCTCACAATTCACTAGTCTATGTGGTCATGAATTTGATTACTTTTCTTTCTAAATGAATTGGGATTATTCCAGTGTTTAAAGGCAAAATGCATCACTTGCAGCAGTTGGAACATGTAGCAGTGCAGCTATATTCTGGAAGGGAAGGATTTTTTTGTACTGTTTGTGGTATGGTTACATTTTTCACATGGTAGATCAGGAAATTCTTTCTCTACAACTAGCTCAAATAATAATTTTGAAAAATTAGGTTCAGTGACATTTTTGAAATTTAATTTGAAAAGTGAACATCAAACGTAGGGAAGTGCTTTGGGTCGTATGCCTTGTCTGTAAATTTGGATACAGTTCACAAATGCAACCCTGTGAAATGTGCAGGCAGTCTTGAATCATGACTTCAGTCATGACATTCCCAAATGAGGCAAATGAGTGCTTTTATTGTTTGTTTGTGAAAATGGCAGAAGGCAGCTCTCCCCAAACCCACCCAATATTAATCTTTGTTCCTCAGTGACTTTGACTCTTTGAATGAAGAAGATGTTGTTGAAAATAACCAGCTGGTGTTTGACGTTGCTGAACGAGAGTTTGGAATTCCTCCAGTCACCACTGGGAAAGAGATGGCGTCTGCTGGAGAGCCTGATAAACTCAGCATGGTCATGTACCTCTCAAAATTCTATGAGCTATTTAGAGGAACCCCTCTGAGAGCAGTTGGTAAGCAAACCATTTGTTTTTCATTTTTACCGAAATTGGAAAAATCATTTAACCTAAGCTGCCTAATTACGCCTGATGTTGGGCCAAAGTCCGTTTCTCACAGCTACAGTATAATCACTCTGGAATGTTTGACTCCTTTTGCTGTCTGTAGTAGTAATCTCATGCTTAAAACGGAAAGGGAAAAAATATTTGATTTGGATCAAGACTTTCTATTCCTTAATGGTCTCAGAAAGCAGGAGAGCACTGAGTAACTGCCACTATCATTAAGATAATACTGTCAAACATTATAGTAACTTGCTAAGGATGTTGTTCTCCCCATATTTATTCATATGGGATTCTCTTCCAATTTTTAGAAAACATATGTAGATTTTATTTATTCATTCATTCGTTGTGCGGGGAGAGTGGGCTCCAACACATTCATAAATGCTACTATTAGTAGACTGCAAAAATATTGTTTCTACAGAGAAAATGCTTTGAAAAATGACTTTTTTATGTGAATACAATATCTTAAGAGTGCAATATCTTCATTTTAACAGATGCTGTGGATAAGCAAAATGGAGAAAATAATGACCTTGGCTCAGCAAAATCATCAAACTTCATCTTTAATAACTACATCAATTTAACGTTACCAAGGAAGCGAGTACCAAAAGTAAGGTTCTTTGCCCTCTACTACTTCACCTCATATTAGTAGGTTAAAGATATACTATCATTCTTCTACATAATGTAAACCAGTAGAATATATACATGATTATATGAAAATAATTCCAATGCAGACAAGGATGTGTGGTCTTATTAAACAAAAATATTCGTTATGATGTTTGTAACTCTAACCATTGCAGCATTATGCTAGTCATCAATTAAATTATCTAGAAACTAACTAGTTCTTATAATGCAGTCCTTGCAAATCCAAAATTCATGTTAATGTTCAAAGGGAGTTTTGAGTGTGCAAACAATGAAAGAGTAGAAAGCAAAAACTTATCTAACTAGTTTACTTTAACTGTCCAGACTACTGTGGTATTATTTGACATAGGTAAATAAATATCTTTTTTTTTAAAGATGTAAGATTTTTCAACTTGCCAGTGTCCTTTCTTAAAACATTTTCTACTTTAGCTTTATTCAATTCCAGATTGTTCATTTGTGAGCAACATAAAAAGCCTGTTTTCGCAAATCATTTAAAAAACTTTTTGATATTTTTGGCCAGTTTTTCCACTGTTAATATATAATGAAAAATATTTTAGAAAGTTTTATAGACTAGCAAAAAAAACCTGGAGAAAATCTTTTATTTTTCCCTGCATCAGTTAACCACGCCTTTATCAAAGGTGTACCGTAGTCTTACAGTACTTCATATAAAAGAGTGAAATCTATATTACCATACCACATGTACACTCAAATAATAGTTGTGATTCTAGGAGAATTTTTCAATTTATTAAATATCTTTTATTTATAGCAATGAAATTAATGACCTGGAAAAGCAATAGTTGAGGTTAATAGTACTGATACCACATTTTCAGGTTCCTTTCTCCAAAACATTTTAGGGGCCAATCCTCCAAACTTACAGAAGTATAATGCCTATGACCTTGAAATCAATGGGAAAGTTCACTACCAAGAGTAACATTTACTGTTGTAAGTGTTTGGAGGATCTGGCCCCTAGGCAATAATCCATTCACATGTGTCCCCTTATTTTTTCTCTCTACTACTTTATCATAAGTCCCGCTGAGTAATGGAGAATTGCTATTAAGTACACAATTCCCTGTGCTTCATAAAGCACCCCGTGCCTGTCGAAGTCAGTGAAACCGTGCAGGGCACAGGGATCTGTGCTAGCAGAGCCTGATGCAGGATTGGGGCTGGTGAGAGTGGTTTTTATTTTTCCTTAAGTGAATAGACGCTCTTCCAAGACAATGACTTTGGAGACAGATTCAGTTACATATTTTCCTGTTAAATAACTTTGCTATCCTACATATTTACCCTTCTCCCCACCCCAAATGCAATCCTATCACTAAGTTAACAGGAACTTGGAGAGGCTGTTTTTTTCACCCCCAATCCCACCCTCATTTTCCCTTTTTAAAACTGAGCCTGCACAGTCTGGCTCAAAGTCAAAAATGTCCCTCTGTGATTGTTCAGATCTAATTGCTATGAAGTGCTAGCCAACCCACACCAGAACGTGGCTGCTGCTCTGTCAAGTTGTGATAACAGCATAGTTCGTTAACCTCCATGGATGTTTCCTGAAAATACAATCTAATGCAAACTTGTGTGAGGTTGTGTTTCCTGCACCATTCTGTAACCTTATTTTCTTCAATAATTCCAGCTGTTGCAAAGAAGCCATGTTTGTAACGGACCTAACTTGCTACTCTATTGTAACTTTAGTCTGTTGCATAGTAAAAGAAAAAATATCTGCCATACAAGCACTTTGGATTTTTTTACTTTTAGTTTTTCATTGCCTCACATGTTAACTTGCAAAAGTAACAGAAGGCAGCTCTCTCACTCCTTCATTCCTAGTCCAAAGATCTTAACAGGAGAGTGTGTGTGTGTGTGTGTGTGTGTGTGTAAACGTGTACGTGTGTGTGTGTGTGTGTATATATATATGTATATGTATGTTCATAGTTTTCCTTATTGGTTACAAATCTGCTTCCAACTTGTCTTTTCAATTCTGGTGTAAACCAGCTACCTAAACAAGATTCTCCTAACCCAGAAAGTGCTTCAGAGCGTACAGATATTTCCTAGGTTTACTTGAATCTTACATGTTGCTAATTCCATAAACACATTTTTAAAGCATGTGACCAGTCAACCACTCACTAGTTATCTCATATATCCTTATTAGGTAACAACTTTTACCCATCAAACACCCACAAACAAAACCAGAGTGACACACTTACCAACCAGCCAAACTAGAGGCAAGCCAAATAGGCAAAATAAACATTGTGCTTGATTAAAACAGATGATTTCCTTTGGCGAGGAGCTCTTCTTATTGCCATGTTGTTTTTTCCTTAGTTACTCCAAAAAGTAAACAGACTTTCAGTAGTGGAAATCTTTCCCCACTACTAAGGTGTTTAATCCTCTCTCATTAACTGGTAGACAAAAGAGATACCGGTACTTTTTGACCTCTGCAAGCAGCAGAAGTAGGAATTAATACAATAGTTTAGCACTTTGCATTGTCTAGTGAGAGCAGCAGCTTTTGGGAGTTCTTGGAGTACAGCTGCACATGTACGCAGCATTTGATAAAACAATAACTGCTTCCCTTCCCCAAAAAAGTTTACAGATGAGATAAACGACGAGAGGGAATTTGCTTTGTGGCCTCCTGTTGGCACCACCATCACAATGCTCTGTGGAAAGGAGAAATAATGCTTTCCCTTCAGACATCTTTCATCTCCAACCCCAGATCCAATATAGTGTGTTTGCAATGTTTGTTGTCCATCTAGAAATGGCTCAGGGAGCAAGCATGTCGAGGTCACTTCTTTTGCAGGAAGCGCCACAGACCTTCACAGCTTCCTCTGTGATGTGTAGCTTCTGTGTTCCAAAAATGTTACCTTGTAGTGTGCATTTACACACCAGCTGGAAGGTGAATCCCCAGCTGGGGTAGATCTACATGTGCTAGCTGTCCTCAATAGCACCTAAAAATAGCATTGTAGCCATGGTGGCACAAGCGGCATCTTGGGCTAGCCACGTGAGTATGTACCAGAGTAGCTGTAGCTACACTGCTAAGTTTAGCGCACTAGCTCCAGCAGAGCTAGTATGTTTTCATCTACCAGAGCTGGGAATGACACCTCCCAGCTGCTGCATGGGCACACCCTCAGTTTGAGACAGGAAGTTATGCAAACTATAGCTATCTGAAGAGGCGGTGGAAATGTAGCAAGGCAGAAAGTAGCTTCCCAAGTTAGAATTTGGCCATAACCTTAGCTCTAAGTCTGTTCTTCTGCAAAAATTGATATAGGACCTATTAAGTACAAATAGTCAGGTGCTTAGTGTTATGTCTTGTTGGAGAGATGGCACTTCCAACACAATGGTATGCCCTTACAACATTATGTGGCTTTAATTCAGCACTGACCACAAGGGGAGAATGCCACCAACTGAATTGCCAGCACTGCTTCCTGCACTGTCTGGCTTTTCCTTAGAGCTGGTCATTAGTTGGATGGGAGACCTCTAACCCTGCCTAGTTTGTGAGAGATTAGGAAATTGAAAGCTGAGGGTAATGTGGCTGCAGTTTGTTTGCCAATATGTACTGGGCTAGATAATGTTTTTCATTTTCCTATTAGTGTCTGCAGTGCTCCAGAGGAACTGAGGTTTCCTGCACTTCTCCAGACTATAGAATGAGTTTTAGGTGTTTACATGATAATGAGCACAGTCTGCAGGCGTGGAGTCACTGTGCAATTAATTGCTTAGTAGTCTAGGTCTTTAACTTTCAAAATTTTATACAATGGGCTGTGATTAAATATTTTAATGTGCTGTTGTGCCCTTCATTCTCTTGTGTGGTCTCCGCTTTTATGTACAAACTATTCTGCAGAACACATTGTGCTATTGCACTGATCAATCTTGCTGGGCAGACTGATGCTTACGTAGGACAGGAAACTAGATTACTGAGAGCCAATGCTTGAAAGACACAGTATTCAAAATATTGTCATCTGTTTCTTTTGGTATTTGCCCAGAAGTTAAGGTTGAGATAACTTCAATTAACTCTAGAATGATTTATTATAAGCTGTGGAAAATATTAAAAGGAAGTTTGTATTCATTGTCCTCTCCCCACCTCCCCCCCTGTTCTTTTTATTACTGGCATGGAAGGTTGCTCATCAGCAGCTCATAGAAATACAAATGACTGAACTGTGTTTTTTATTGACTATTATACAGAAACAACATAGGCTGACATGTTTACCAGGCAGAAAGATTGTCCATGTTATAATTACATTTTTCTACAATTTACCTGTTTGTGGAAGTTGAACCGGAGTTCCAGGACTGAATTTTACTGAGAGCCGATGTAAATTTTAAATCACTAAGTCATTTGACAGGGTAATATCACTTGTCTGTCTATTCAAGTAGGCCCTGATTCAGTAAATTTCTTAAACAAATGCATAACTTTAAGCGTGAGAGGAGCCCAGTTGAAATCAATTGGGACTTCTCACATGCTTAAAGTTATGCATGTGCTTAAATACCTTACTGAATCAAGACCATAATCAGTTTGATAGAACTTGTGGATAAAGCAGACAGTTTTTCTGAAGGGGAGGAAATCTATGTTTGTGCTTGAGAATCTACCTGATGGGGTGCGTGGTGAGAGGTGGGAGGGGAGGGGGATGTGCCTGTGTATATTTGTTTTTTTAACTTTACCTGAAATCCATTACAGTTTAATTATAATATAATTTGTATTTAATACCTTTCATCCAAGAATGTCAAAGTGCTTTATGAGCACTAAATACCTTTAAAAATTGTCCCCTAAATCATTAATCCCTGAAGCACTCCTTTGAGATTTCATACAAGGGAAACTGAGACTTATTACTGAACTTCAATGGGACTAATGGATATGATTAGTTATGATAAGGCCCCAAGAATTCAATCATATCCATTAGTCCCATTGAAGTTCAGTAATAAGTCTCAGTTCAGCAAGGTACTTATGCATATACCTAGCTTTAAGCATGTCAGTATTCCCACTGAAGTCAATGAGACTATTTGTGTGCTTAGTTAGGCATGTGCTTAAGTCCTTTGATGAATCAGGGCTGTAATCCGTGTTAGGGGCGGGATAAGTACCCAAAAGTCCTGAAACTCCTGAGCCCAGTCCCACTCTGCAAACTACCCGTGGGCCCCACTTCCATGTTTGCTAAGTTTTTAATATTTTTAACATACTGATTAATAAATTCTGCATAAATATAGTTGTGCTCAACATACCTTGTTTGGTTTTATTGTTGCAGGTTGAAAGGAGAGAAGAAAATGATATGAACAAAAGGCGTCGAAAGGGCCTCGGTGGCTTTGAAGAGGTGGGTGTTAAGTCTTGTTGCTATGTTAACCCCATCTTCTGCATGAAGAGAGTTAATGAAGTAGCAGGAAGCAGATTCAACAGAGGCCCAAAATCTGAACTTTTGTGTTCTGTGCTGATTAAGACATACCCCCTCTCTCTTTCCTCCCTCCCTCCCCCCCCCCGCCCGCCCCGAGAAGCTTGCAGTCTTTAATTAATCTTGTACACAGTAGTGAACCTAAATTATTTTTTTTTCAAGTTATTTATAAAGGAAAAGTGAGAGATCTCCATTCAAGTCCTATTCTGGTTTAGGAAATACATATATATAGTTACTTTTCTTGTCCCAGCTCAGTTATTTAACTTTTGTTTTATAACTTCTTAACAACATTTCCTTCCGGCAAGAGTCCCGTTCCTTTCCTGATTTTGTTTTTTATGGCTTCTTGCTCTATGTTCAGCAGTATCAGTTCAGTCTCTGTAAATCCTGTTCTTTCTCTCACTTGAGGGATAGGCCACCAAGGAGAATAATCTGTTTATATAAGTGATTTTTTTTTTTACTGTCCCATAAAAGTGAGTTCCTTTTTGAAATGAGCAGATGTGTCACAAAATAACATCATTCTTCTCAGCCTGTGAGTGTCTTGTGTAATATCACTGAAGTCTCAATTTCAGATTTGAAGAAAAATTCTCCCTTTGTTTTTTTTTTACAGGCTTCACGTTTTTCTAGTCGGGGTACGAATTCTGGTAAAGATCAGGGCGACAGAGAAGGAATGAATCAAAATAAAGTAAAGTCAATGGCAACGCAGCTGTTGGCAAAGTTTGAAGAAAATGCCCCAAACACATCTCTCCGGAGACAGGTGAGTGACGAATGTAAAATTCACCTTTGAAATTCAAGTAATCTCTCCTCATGAACAAAACAGTAGTTCTCAGATAAAAATTGCATCTGTAGTGAGTTTGAAGAAGCTTTTTTTAAGAATTTGTCGTCTAAAATTTGTATAGAAAATATCCTTTTCATTGCATTTAGGGAGAAACTAATTGGTGACTATGTAGGTGCCCATTGCATAGTAATACATAGTGCAATTGTGTTGGTTTGAAATGTACTGCGAAATTATCTCTGAAGCTATGGCTTTATAGTGGAGGTTTGTAACAATAAGTTGTCATAGGTCTGCTGGCTAAGGTTTTGTAAAAGCTCTTCAGTTTTCATGTTTTGTGGATGAAAGGATACAGAGTCACTTTCAAGACAAAAAGATCCAGTGGAATGTTTTCTTTTCACTGTAATTCTTGTCTAGGAAAGAAAATGTAGAAAATACAAGACAGTGAATCTAATCTTTTGATGCATGCATTGTCATTAAACGAACAGAATATACTGTGCATGTTTTGCAGTTGATCACGAGTGACTTCAGCAGGACTGCTCAAGTTTAAAGTTAACCATAGTCTCTGTTTAAAATATTTAGTATTCCACATGCGCACTTCCAAGTACAGTTGTAATGGGAGAGCAGACCATTAATTTGGGTAGACTCCAAAAGGGCTGTGTAGAGCATCTGGATAAAGCCCTTTTTAGGGATCCCTTTAAGCAGTTTTTCTTTCTTTTTCTGTTTGTCTCAAAATATCTTGTTCTATTTACCTTTTCCTAAGATTTTCCAATCTTATGTTTTGTTTTGACTCAAAATGTTATACAAGGAGCTAGTAGATAAACCAGCCCTGCTCTCTTCTTCTGATCCTCCTGCTAATCCTCGCTTTACTAAGCCTAAGGAGCCAAGTCCTTCACCTCCACCAAAGAGTCAGGTAGGAATTCATAAGGAGAAAATCCTCTATAAATAATTAACGTACTATTTTCATTTAGTACGGCAGGATTCAGTGTCTTCAAATGACTCCAGAACACTCAAATTAATGTCTGAATTTGATCACATAAGTGACAGGTGTGTTTAGCTGTTGCATGCCAGGACATCTTAAAGCAAGGTTCTTGAATTTAGTGTGGTGGTATCCAAAATAATACAGAAAAAATAGGTGAATGATAAGAGACACCCCTACCCCCCCCCAATGTTAAAGTTACATTACACTCTTCAGGCAAGATTAGAAAGCTGACTGAAGAATAAGTGTGTGCATGCAAAGCACTCTAAATGTGTATGGGTCAAGTTTTAGTGCTTAAATCAAGCAAACTCCCATTGACATCAGTGGAGAAGTTGTGTATATATGTTGTAGTGTATGTATAAATTTTGTATGCTAGAAAAATACTTCAATACATTCAATGTGTTGATATATGCATGTACAATAATCTGTGTAGTTTGATAGAATGCTAAGACAAAGGGAGTTTTGCTGAGTTTGACCCTATGAAACAATTCAGAATGACCAATGACTCAGCGCTCAACAAAGGGTTGGGATTCAGTTTAGAATCATAGAATATCAGGGTTGGAAGGGACCTCAGGAGGTCATCTAGTCCAACCCCCTGCTCAAAGAAGGACCAATTCCCAACTAAATCATCCCAGCCAGGGCTTTGTCAAGCCTGACCTTAAAACCTCTAAGGAAGGAGATTCCACCACCTCCCTAGGTGTAACGCATTCCAGTGTTTCACCACCCTCCTAGTGAAAAAGTTTTTCCTAATATCCAACCTGAACTTCCCCAACTGCAACTTTGAGACCATTACTCCTTGTTCTGTCATCAGGTACCACTGAGAACAGTCTAGATCCATCCTCTTTGGAACCCCCTTTCAGGTAGTTGAAAGCAGATATCAAATCCCCCCCCCCCTCATTCTTCTCTTCTGCAGACTAAATAATCCCAGTA